TGCGCCAATAAACCCCGTTTCACCGGTAACATGCCGCAACACTTGCAACATACTGACACACGGGGGGGGGGGGGGGAAGGGGCACACGGCAAGCAACACTGGAAACACAGTGCACACACTGACTGCATGTGGAAGGTGCTGTTTGGTAGCAAGTGATGGCACAGCTCCTTACGGCTTGTGAAATCGCACAGTGCCTTGGCAAAATGGCGGTTTTCGGCGGTAGGTGGAATTTACAGTCGACGACTTGTACGGCTTATTTTGAACTGAAATAATCTCTTACAGTTCGCATTTTTCACATGTGTACAAGCACATTTGACCCTCTACCTTTGTTTTTTGCCGAAAACTCTTAATTGTTGGGTGACCACCCCAAAACCCTTTCAAGTAACAAAAATCTGAAGCAGAAGGAGCTTGATTCTGATAGCAAAAATGTAGAAAAAAAACTTTTTACATTCAAGCAAGTACAGGACCTGGCACTCTTGGATTCACTCACTGGGCTGAAATAGTGTGCCAGTCAATCAGAGGGTGCCGTTTTCCCAGAAAGAATGGGTCAATAGCTTTATGTGCTCCAGCAATGTGACGGACACGAAACCAGAGATGGGGTGTGCAAGGGCCACTATTGCACACCTGATCAACTCGGCCTACTGTGACTATAGATCAGTTTGCCATCACTTGGGGGCACGGTTCATTTTTGGTGGAGAATGAGCTGCTGTGGTGCCTGGATATGCATGTTTGTAATAGTAGTCGAACCATTGTGACCAATCGTCCCAACTGTATGGGCCTGGCCATAAATTTCTTAAAAAGCAGCCTAATTCTGCTATGAAAAAAGTGAGAGTCCACTTACTGAGTGGACTCTCAGTAAGTGGAAATCTTTTAAATGAAATTGCTACTTAAGTACAACTGCGTTTAGTATGATTGGTTTCGTACCTGAATGTTTAAACTAAGTTACTCCTCTTAAAGCATATTTTTCTTCCCTTCAGGTCCCGTTTAATGACAGTCTGCTCTAATCACAAATGGCAACTCTTCTTAAATTTGCTGCCCTTGAGGAGCCCCACTAGCTTTCTTTGAGGGCTGTGGGACTTTCCGTTCTTCTGGCCTGTTTAATGAGGAAGGGCACCTCTGTTCCTGCCTCATTCGCTTGTGCTCTATGTTAATTATGGTTGTTGGGCACCTTGTACTTGTTTTACATATGACTTATTAAACATCCCATATTTTGGTCACAGTGAATAATGAGAAAGCTGGCACATTGGAAAATATGTGTGCTTTTAACTGCGTAGCTGTTTGAACTTTTTGTTCTGCCAGTTCGCGTGACCAGCATAAAGCAGGTACTATGTGTCACGCACCTACTAGCATAGCATAGTGTAATAAAGGGATGGGAAATGGAAGTGAGGAGGAAGTAAAGGAGGAGGGTAAAGCGTGACATAACCATGTACAGTGTTGCCACATCTCTTCCTCAAGTTTTGCTACCGCCCTGTGACACTAACAGTAATTCTCAGTGCAAACCGCGCCTGCAGTGTTCGAGAAGCCTCAATACTGTAGCAGATCATTTTCTCAAGATTATACAGGCTGGCCGCCAGTGATAATGCTTGAATATTTGACGGTGCATGTATGAATTCCGACACGCTTCGCCACTTGACAGTTGATCGACGTTTGACGCTTTTTTCGCCGCTATCAGTGCCAGTGTCTTGCTGTAATCTGGCTCTCCTTTTACGTGGCCACAAGTTCGGCCAAATAAACAGTTTCATCTGACCATCCGGTCGGTGACCTTCGTCTGCATCACGACTCCGTGACCGTATAGCATGGCGAGGGGTGTCAGCGAGAACTGAGGAAGAGGTGGAGGGACGTGAGCGTTAAGAGGACGGAACAAAGGAGAGAGAGCAATGTGGAAAAAAGACAAGTAAAAAAAGAAAGGAAGATGAAGGTGAATGAAAATTCGCGCTCTCTTGCTTGTCAGCTCAGCAGTTCACTCAGGGTGGGGTGGCATGGAAGTGGCTTTAATTTTTATTATAAAAACACACAAATCTCGTTACAACAGACCGTCATAATGTGGCGAAATGGGTCCGTAGTATCCAAAGTTCATAATATTCAAACTTCATGAGAGGAGGCTGGGGTGCACATTGCTTTGGGACGATTGTTTTGGTTTTTGCTCAGCAGTATAAGGAAGGGTAGTGCCACTGATACATGGTGAATGCATTCGACAACATGTTTACGAAAGAACAGCAGTGGTTATTAACAAAATTCAGTGCAAGTTCTAATTAATGAGCGAGTGCCGTTACAGTGGCCCCTGCATAGCAGAAAAAGCTTAGCCTGATAGTAAAAAGTTTCTAGCATGCTTTTTCAACAACTTCTCTTGAGAGGAATGGAATAAATTTCCCTGTTTTTGCAGATGGGGAGGCATACTTGCTTGGTTGGGTCCACTTATTGGCCGCTGGGAGCTCTTGCTCTCGCGCAATGCCAGTGACTCGCTGGACAGTCCATAGTTAGTCTGAGGGATATAAACTGAGCAGCACCAAGGCACTTTTCATATTGATATGCTAATTTGACAGTGGAATACGCATGCTTAAAGCGCCAGAATGGCTTACTTGCCCAAGTTTGGTTGGGGTACCTGGCAACGTTCAATGAGTGACAAACGTTTAACGCAAAAGACAAAGAAAAACTTTTTATTTACTCTTAGCTCAAAAAAAAGGGGGGGGGGGAATAAAAGATTAATAAGCACTCTTCTGTGATTGTCAGCTGAAACACTTGAACCGTTAGCGGACCAACGTCCTCTCAAACTGGATTGGCTGGAAGCTCGGCTTGGCTGTAATCTGCCAAAAGTTACCTGTTGCAATTCAAGATGACTGGGGCATTAGCATACAAAATGTGGCATGGACAAGTTTGTCATCAGCCCGTGTCAACATGGCAAAAGTACACTTTATGCACTCAGTTAAAAAAAATCATGTTGCTCATTTCGTCCACTGTAGCCGATAGTTTGTTGTATTGCAGTTGGTTAAAAGCAATCTACGCTTTTAACAGACCTAGGCTGAATAATGGTTCTTACTATATGAAAGGCCATTGTACGTAGGTCTGTTATAATGAGCGTAGATTGTATACTGAAAGACGCAGGAAGACCTGACCAGACAAAGCCATCAGAATAGTTTGTTCCACGGTGTCTACACTTCCTTTTTTTTTCTTGTCTCTTTTCTACATTGTCTAGCTTTCAGCTCGGTAAGACCATTTTTCTGTGGGTGGTATGGAAGTAGTTTCATGCGTTAATTCTACAGGCCCATAGGACTTCCTTGAATACATGGGAAATGAAGGCTTTGCCAGAGCCACTCAAAAGAACGCAAGTAGCTCCATGGCACAAGACGATAGACTGCAAGAAGAAGTCGACGATTTCAGTTGCAGTGCCAGACTTAAAAGGCGCACTCTCGGCAAATCTTGCTAAATGGTCGACTGCAGTGACAATACAAAGGTGACCGGAAGACGTCAACTGACACGACATCATACAAGTCAATTTTGTCAAATTCAAAAGGTGTGGTCGGACAGAACATAAGCTGTGGAATAGTGGCGTGCGGGTACAGGGATCACCAACATTGCTGACACGACTTGCACGAGCCCACGTATTTCGTTATCGTTGTGGATAAGCCAGGCCAGAAACAGCGGGTGCCGATGTGGCTGTAGGTCTTACGGAAGCCTCGATGACCAGGAGGGATGCCATCACGAAATGCTTCTAAAACTAATACGAAGGCAGCTGGGAAGGATTGGCACCCACTTGTTACATGTGGCCTAAGTATGGCATCGAAGCACACCGTCGTCGAGGTGAAATCGTCGAAGCTGCAATCGCGAGAAGCTGTTGGACGGTTTTGTGATGCCTGAAGGCAGTCATAGAAAGTTTCACAGTAGGAGTCTGCCCGCTGAAGTGAACGGAGATTGGAGTGCAAAGTTGAATTTGATTCAACAGGGTGATCGATAGCTGTCGTGAGACAGGCAGAACATCGGAGCCACTCGGACGAGATGTACAGTACTTATTGACATTAGTCTTCTTCGTAACAATATGATCAAAAGAGAATAAAAGTGTCCATCTGGACAGCACGTCGGCATCATTATGACATTTGCCTAACTTGTATGTGATGGTGAAGTTGTACTCTTGCAAGTGCAGTATTCAGCGCCCTAAATGTCCTGGCGTATCCTTCATTGTTTACGGCCAACATAGTGAGTGATGGTCGGTGGCGATAGTGAAGTGCCGGCCGTTGAGGTACGATCCTGCTCCGTGATCGTGTAGTTCCGCTTGGCTGTCGACGGCGTCGGAGTCCGGTTGGCATATGCCATAACCTGCTCTTTAGAGGCGCATCATGCTGCAGAAGTGCTGCTCTAATACCTTGTGTGCTTGCATCAGTGGGAAGTATAGTGGGTGTTCTCGTCAAAGAAGTTAGACACTGTTCCAGAAGTCAGGCATTCTTTCAAGATTTCAAATGCAAACTCGCAGTTGTTGGACCAAGCTGAAAGGAACACCAGTGACTAATGGCTTATTTAGGGGAACCACTGCAGTAGCAAAGTTGCGTGTAAATTAATGAGAGTGGGACGGCCAGGCTAAGAAAGACTTGCAATGTCGTTTGGTTAGATGGCCGAGGTACAGCGGATGTCTTGTTGGGATCAGGCTGGACTCAGCACTGAAGTACCCATCTGATTGTTGAAGGTCGGCGAAAACACGATATCATCTAAATAACAGAAGCAGTTCTTTAAGCTTAGACCATGAAGAACAGTATCAATCAAGCTTTCAAATGTAGCTAGAGAGTTGCACACCCTAAATGGCAATAAATGAATATGTAAAATTCCTTGAGCCAACCTGTCTATTTTTACTAGAGTATCCGAGGGCACATATCTCACTATTGCCATTGCCACCAGCAAGATAAATGACAATATCATACAGTGGCTTGTGCCTTCTCTCGGTAAATCCAATATCAGTGTGCCAAGCCAGTGTTATGCAAGCTGTGTGTAAAAGCGTGTGTGTGTAATTGCAGGTGGAATGAGCAGGAGAGCTACGTAGAGTATCTGGAGAGCCAGCCTGGGAGCTCGGCAGCCAACAATCGTGAGTGCCCCTTTTTATAACATGCATCACCTGTAGCTTGCAAAAGCACCCTGTGAATATGTTATGGTACATGTGAAGCATACATGGTGTTTTAGTCACCAATACTAGTAGTAGAATAGCTGTGCCAGTTGTACCATATTATGCTGAGAGTGGTTCGAACCAGTGCCATGCCTTCTTTGAATGGGCAGATGCCATAAGTGCACAACTTTGTTTTTGTATGGGAAGTGGCCTCGTGGATATGCCTCAGTTTAAGTGTATGCACATCATTCACGAGGATTGCCGGGGTCGCCATTTTGGAAGTTCGCATGCATAAGAATCTCGCTGCATGTGCTGTGTCCGAAATTGCTATAGCAACTTGGTTGTCTAGAGACCTTCGAAACATGGCAGAACTTCATAAATTTGCCATCTTCGGCAGCTCATACTTGAACCAGTGGGTTACGCAATGGTGTGAAATCTCTGGTGGGGCCCATGGTGTGTTCGCCAACTTGTTGTTTGCTTAGACTATTCTGTTTGATATCCTCTATGCGACTGACCGATTGGTCGCTATCAATCATTGAGCGGCGCATATTCATGCTATAGAGATCTGAAAATAAGCTCCTCATCTTCGAACAGCAAGCAGTACTTCCTCATCGGTAGCAGTAACAGCAAGCGTAGTAACATCAGCGATTTGAGTACAGACGGAACCGCACTTCTCTAGAGCAGTGGACTGTGTGACAGTGGACTAAGCTTCCGTTGATGCTTGAACTATAGCTGAAGAATGCACACAGCATGACTATTATGTGTAATAATAGCATCGGTATTTGCATGTTTTTGCAGAAAATTGCAGCAAAAGCGGCCTGCTAGGTGCTTTCAACAAATTTGATTGCATATGTGCCACTTTTTTTTTCATATCGCACATCCATCGTGGCAATGTCATTCTCGTCGGTTCTCTCAGATGCATCGTGAATATCGCACCTGCACTCATTGCGTGGCGTATTGTCCTGCAGACGCCCAATTACATCTAAAACGTTCCACTTGTGCTTATTGTTCGTGCGCCCGTCAGCGACACAGTGATGACCAGATGATGGTGTTCACTAAGTCATTAAAATTTTTTGTAATATCATCTTTGTTATCCATCGTGGCTTTCAGCGTGAAACACCCAGACTTAGACTAGAGAAAAGGACGGCATCTCCAGAAAGAGTGGACTAAAGTGTCCTACCCACTGCAGAGTTTTTACGGAGTCAAGTTCGACCTTACACCGCCTAAGGAGAAAAATTGAAAGGAACAAGGAATGTGGCCATTATCGGAGACCATGCTGTACTAGACAAGTTCCTACATGTCCTTCAACTAAGGCATAAATTTTGCTTCGATCCGCGTCTGAAAGAGCTGGATAAGGTCGTCCTTGCCAGGACTGTGGCTCACTGAGCTTAGGAAGGGGACAGACTAAGGTGCATGTCAGGAGCGCGTTGATTTGTTCCAGAAGCCGTCAGGGGGAATCAAGGTGTTCGAGATGGTTCGAACCTTTAATTGATTTCTGTGCCAATAGTAATTTGCGCATTCTTGAGTCTGACAAAGAAGGGCATTTGTAGTTATACCAGAGCACATGGATCTGGAAAAAGCAACTACAGCAATCGATGAGAATTTTTGCAAAGTTTCCACTGATCCCGTCAAAATTAAATCATGTGCTATAGTTTTGTTGAATAGGGTTGGCTTAACAAAAGTTTCGAATGGTGTCAGGCGAGGAAAAAGGCTGTAAACACACATAGGCACGATTACCCTTTCAGGACCATCGTTTTGGAAAGGAGTTCATGGTTAAATATTCAGAGTACTTGCAGACACATCTCTCCAGCTTAAGTTGGGGTACCCTTTCGTGGTCGCCAGCTCTAACTGGGTAGTTGAATTTCTGGAGAAAAATAGCCCTGGGGGCTGCTTTAGAATTCAGCATAGACATAGATATCATGCACAGCTATTAAAATTTGTGAAAGAGTGCATCCAGGGGCAAATGAATGAGTTAGGCTTGGTAGAAAACTGCAAAATACTGGTTGCTAGTTTCCTGGAACTTTTGAAATGTTTTTTGAAATTCAAGTTTGTTGAGTGGCAAGGAAAGATAGTTATTCAAAGGCAGGAGTGTGCATAGGGTTCTGTGTAGCACCAGTACTGAGCAATATCTAAGTTTCATTAACCGTAAAATAAATGATAACTTACGTGAATTAGCTTCGCGTATTTCCCGCTATGTGGATGACTATTTGGTTTCCGACAATAGGCAAAATTTCCAGAGATCTATTGTTGACGTTGTGAAGTTGTTTAATGAACAGGGACAAGGTTCTTGATACTTTTGAAGTTCCAGAGAAGGTCGAGTTGCAGTTCTTAGACCTTAGGCTTTCCTTCAAAGTGGAACATGGGTGTTGGTCCTATCAATCGAGGTCAAAGAAGTCACTTCTTGATTTCAGGTCAGGGCACTCCGAATCGATCAAACGAGTTATCACAACTTTCGCTATAAGGACCACCCGCAACAAGTGTTGTCTCCATCGTATGCCTGGCAGTGTTAACAATCGGGTGACGAGGCTGTGTGAAGCAGGCTATCCTGATTTTCTCAGTTTCTGTGAGGGGAATATGCTGCACTAATTGAAGAGGCAGTCCTTTCAAGTGAAACACAAAAAAGAATATAGCCATTTTGTCCACATTCCAGAGGCCCATTTTTTTCCCCATAGATTAAAGAAAGTCGTGCCTAGGTTTGCCCAATGCCCCGTCAAAAACGGAAATGAATTCTTTGACTGCATCTTCGCACAGATTATTCGGCTGGCTGACATGTTGCTCCCCGGTGATATTAATGCCTAATAGGTGGAAACCAATCCAGTATGGACTAATCCAGATTGATGCTCGGGTACTTTCCCTTGACGATCACCACTTTCAGCAGCTTGTTTAAATGGTTGAACGTCTCTCCGACAGTGGCTATCCCGTGAACTGCAATCCGCTTGTATTGTTAGTCCCTCATTATAATATAATATGCAGTGGTTGTAGTTTCGGCAGTCGTTCATTTGGAAAAATTTTTTTGGTTGTGACAGCTGAAATAGGCGAGAATGTCGAACCCGAGTCCACTTTCATTCAGCAGGCTGTGCCTTCGAAATTGACGTTGACCTCTCCTTGGTAGGTTTTGGCAGCACGTGAATGGTTGGGGTGCACCGTCATCGCAGTATGGGTTGTTTTCGCGAGATGCGCCCTTGAATTGACTTTTTCATTCATTTTCCCAGTCTTCTCCTTGGTCGGGCCGATATTTAGAACGGCACACCTGCTCCGTTTTCTTGCGATTTCGGCACTGCGCGTACCTAAGATGAGAGTGATGGTGCTGGTGTGGACCGCCACAACTAGTGCAGGCTTCACTCTGAAGTCTGCCTTGGTCCCACTGAGCACTGGCAGCATCTCAAAACCACAGAACATCCTCCTCCATGGCCTTGTGCCCTTCGGCTTCCCCCTGTGTCGTTCTTTGGTGCATTGGCTCTATTCATATTGCTGTAATGCCGGTTCCTGGCAGAGGGTCATCTTCTCGATCCACAACCTACCGTATTTACTCGATTCTACCGCGCGCTCGATTGTAACGCGCACCCGATTTCCACCGCGAAAAAAAAAAAAAAACGTAAGACATCGATTGCAACGCGCACCAATTTTTTTTTTGCTGGCCCGCACGATCACACCACTCGAAAAAAACGATTCCTTTCGGGATTGTCTTCCATTTAAATATGAGGTACGGACGAAGCTTGTGCCCATCTGACGTGTAACGGAGCATTGCCGTCACTGTAGTTTTACCGTGGACCGATGTCAGCACGCGAACTTGCTTCGCCCCCTTCTTCTCGACGGTTGTGGTGCCAGGCATGTCGAAGTAAAGAGGCGTCTGATCGGCATTCCAGATTTGCCCAAGCAGGTAGCCGTTGTTGCGCCGCAAGTTTAGGACGAACCTCTGAAAACTGTAAAGCTTTTCATCGTACTTCTCCGCAAAAGTTTTCGCATATGCATGTTCCCCTTCGGAGGGAAGAGCCTTTCCTCTTCATATAGTTAATTAGCCAGCACCTGCTCGCTTTAAACAGGCTCCGCATTAGACTTTTTTCTAAGACTAATTGCATAGCCCGCACTTGGAGCAGTTCTGTCGTCATGGGCCGCTGTGCCGCTCGCTCCTCAAGCACATACTCGCTGGAGCAGCTCTTCAATTTGCGGAAACCGGCCCTGCTGTGGTTCACTGAAGCCTTTGCGTGAAGCTTTGCTGTCGACAATCTTCTGCTTTTGTTTCCGCCGGTCCCGCACGCACGTTTCGAGAAGGACCGCGATGCGGCCCGATTTCCGTCCGTTTCTGCACACGCGATGACTTTTCTTTTAAAAGCGGCATCGTGGTGCACTCGAGTTTTTGGAGTCGGCCCTTCCACGTCGTCGATGCTAATGCACTACTAGATGACGAACTCCTCAGCACACGTACGAAGTGCCGCACATGGTAAACACATAGGCAGAAATAGCCGACGCACCATGCCGACGCACGTAGGGGGCGGCCATTTTGGATTTGCGATGGCAATAGATTGACCGTAATTTTTTTGTTCGTACTCGATTCTAACGCGCATGCGATTTATGAACTCGCTTAACCGGAAAAAAGGTGCGCGTTAGATTCGAGTAATTACGGTATTCTGCATAAGGCCTCGTTCATGACACTAGCAAGGGCAGGTAACCTGATATTTTAGTTAACAGTCATCTCTCTACCTAAATTTTCGGTGTGAACGCTGAATACGAAACAGTCCCACAGTGAAGTATCAAGGGCCTTGAAGTTGCAGTGTTGCGCTGTGCTGACTGAGCAAAGCCGCAAGGTACTTGGCAGCCAATTTCTTCTGCACCTGGTTGCGATGATGAAAATCCTAATGCCTGGCTGGTTCGAATGGTTTTGGGGCAAGGTGTTCTTGCAGGACAGACAGTATTATTGACAATGCTGGGTCTTTTAACAGTGCCGGTGCCTCTAAGGTTTTGGCTAATTGGAATGTCGTGGG